TGCAGAGCACCATCAAACTCCCAGCAATTCTAATGGAGTAAGAACACTCATGCAAGGCTCTCCTCATGGAGCTGGGGCTCCCTCACACAACCAGCAACTGAGCACAAGGGGAAATTGTTTCAAACTATAAGAGGGGAGATTTAGACTGGATAGAAGAAGGATTTTTTACAGTAAGGGCAGTCAGGCACTGGCACAAGTTGCCCAGAGAGGCGGCGGATCATCCATTCCTATTTGACTCCAAAGGTCAGGACGGACAGGGTTCTGAGCACCTGATCAAAATCATTGCAGTGCAGTTGCACCAGATGGCCTTTAAAAAACTCAAACGATTCTGTGATTCTACAAAATTAAAGCTGTCAGAGAGCATTTCTCTTGTCAGCAACAAAGATACGAGCATCAGGATTCAGCATGGGTAAATATAAACCAGTTGCGTTCAGTTAGCGCTTCACGACACGGGATCAAATACGAAAGGAGCGCGGGCAAGTTCTGCACAGACAGTAGCGAGCACAGGGTCAGGCGGCGACAGAAGGGGCTCGCAGTGACCCCAGCCCCTCTCCGGCCGGGACAGCACGCATGAGGACGGCATCCCCGGCCGGAGCCGCTGCAGGGCGGCCGCTCGATGCCCGCCTGGGCGGCGCAGGGGCGGCACAGAGCCTCGCCCGCCTCCCTCAGCCTTAAAGCGGCGATGCCGCACGCGGCGCAGCACAGCACTCCCCTCCCCACCCCCCGCCACCGCCCATGTCCTGCGCTGCCGTCCCCGGGCCAGCCTGGGGGAGGCGGGTACGTGACCAGCGGGGTGCAGGAAGGAGCATCGCATCCCCTCCGCTCCATCCGTGAGGCCTACGGTGCGAGGACTGCCAGGGAAGGAGCCGCGGGCCCGAGGGAGCAATCTGACAGAGGGTAGCACGTCTTCATACGCTCTGAGCCCTCCCCACCAATTTTTCCCCTGCGGTCGGGCAGCCCACCCCTTTCAGCACGCATTAGCGAACATCGCAAGCCTATTGAAAAAAGTGCTGGAAATGAAAAATGAAACGTATTCTATTTAGTCTTCCATTAAGGAAAAAGAGTTTACTCCATCCCTCTAGGGCAGCAAAAAACTGGAGCAGAGCGTTAGGTTCATTGAACATTAACGATCTTCCCCTATTATGCTAAATTATTGTTTCCTAAGCGGCTGATCAAATACAATAGCTTTATTTAAAGCCCATTCCAGCTGTTAAGAAAGGAGGCGGCTCTGCTGCGGCGGCTCTCAGGGCAACAAAGGACGGCGGGGCCGGAGCACAGCGGGGCTCCTGCACCACGGCCAGGGACACGGCGCGGGGTGCAGGGACACAGAGCGGGATGCCCCAAAGGAAAACCGAACCAGAAGGGCACGGAGCTGGTGGCCTGAGCGGGACGGAGGTCTGTGCTCTCCTCCTGGCATCAGCGCAAGCCTACGGAGGCGAGGCTGCGCCCTTTGGATGACGTTCAATGAAACGATTTTTGCTCAGGTCTGTGGAGGCCACAATGTAATTACAAGGACGAATTGATGCTCTGATATAACAGCATACTGTTGCCAAAAGAAGGGGTATGCCGTCGTGTCAAGTACAATGGGCATGGGAAGAAAGTGTTGAGATTAAGCTATGGGGATGCCATGAACCTATTTTGACACGTACTTCCTGGCCACCGGGCCTCAGCTTCCTAGAATCGGAATGAATCACAGAGACACAAGATCACACAACTGCTTGGGTTGGAAGGAACCTCAAAGCCCACCCCAGTTCCAACCCCCTGCCGTGGGCAGGGCTGCCCCTCACCTGATCAGGCTGCCCATGGTCCCATCCAACCCGGCCTTTAATGGCAGCATGTGCCAGTGCCTCGCTGCCCTCCGAGTGAAGAATCTCCCCTTCTAGTTTGAAATCATTTCCTTTTGTCCAGTCACTATCAGATCACGCAAAAACTCACTCTCTCTCCTGTTTGTGAGCTCGCTGTTCCCTCCACCCCAGCAGTGGTGCCAGTGGACACCAAATCCCCTGGCTGGGATCTACCTGGGTAAGGGAGGATCGTCGGGCGCTCATCTCGCATCCATGGCAACGCACATTTTGCATACCGTTTTATCCTGAACAAAGGGAAATTAAATACTCATCGTGAGAAGAGTTCAGGTTCCGAACAAGGAGGGGGAGGCAGGGAACAGACTTTGCCTCCAGGTGGAAACCTGGCACATGGCATCCTTCATGCAGTGCGCTTCAGGAAAGCGCTGTCAGAGCAAAAGAGGAGGCTTTGCGAGGAGCCCAGCCATGCCAGGCTCATTTCAGCTGGCACTGTCAGCAGCTTAGTACAGACTTCCACAGCCATCTCCAATCTTCCACTGGCAGAAAGCCAGAAAATTAAGTTCCAATCAGCATCACATCCTCCTGGGCACTGGAAGGGTTTCCAACATTGGGTGACATCTGTGACTGCTTTGAGTTTGCGACAAAGGTGCGTGTGGTCTCTTTTTTTCTTTCAACCCCATTGTTCTGAAACTGGGTTGAACATTAATTAAATTGAGTAGTTAACAGCAGCAACTGGCCTGATTGTTTTTTGCTGTGTTCCTAAGGTGTTATTTGCACTAGCAAATAATGACACAAAAACATAAACCCCTCCCTTTCTTGTCCAGTTTGCATGACAACCATGACCCAAAACAGGAACCACCACAGCTTGGTGGTGCTTCCCTATCCCTGCTTCCCTGTGACACAAGAGCCACCAGCACAGCCTCTGTACAAGCGGGATAGCAAGGTGCTACCCACCTGTGCTACATCCCAGCTCCCAGGCAGTGGTACAGAGATGCTGAGAATGCTTCCCTGGTATTTGCCCTTTCCCAACAATTTCCAGAAGATGTAAGTGCATCTGAAATGTTACAAGTCAGAATCCTCTCATTTCTAATGCATCAAAAGCTCCATCTGGCACACCTGTGTTTTCTAGCTATCACACAAACCAAGATCTGAAATGTTAACGAGCTTTGTGAGTAATCCCTATCAGGCAGGATAATTGTTAGAACTGTCAGTGTGTACACTTTGCTTTCTGAAGGGAATTTCTGTTGGTGTGCACACGCTGATCAAGGCTGGAATGGCGAGGAGCAGGCAGAATCACTATACGGACAGCAGGCTGAAAAACGAGAAGAAAGCAAACACTATGTTCACTTCAGCAGGGTCAGGAGGAGCTCAGCCTGCCCTCATTCCACACACCACAGGCCTGGTTTTCATCCCTGGTGTCTACAAAACTGAGGCTATCTGCACAGAGCAGTTGCTTCACTGTGTAGCTGGTATGAAAGGAAGAAATACTGTTAACACAGAATCATAGTATCCTCCAGGTCCTTACATCCAAGCTCATCCATAATGCATGGCACTGATTTTGCACCGCATTGGTAGAAACTCAAAAGATGAGAAAACCCTGTTACTCCTAATGAAACAAAGGAAACGATGACTTCTCCTCAGCTTGAACGTAGTAAGGGCCATTGAAAACTTTGGGGATCAGGAAGGCGGTCTGGCAGAAGGCAGGGTGACGTGTGGCACGGATTCTGGATGTGGGCACAATCTGCAGCTGAGTCTAGGCAGGGTTTGTGCTGTGGCTGCAAACTGGGAGTAATGAGCAAATGGGTTCAGTCTTTATGTGAGCTCATATCCAAACTCATCCCAGACCACCTAGCATGCCGATGAGAAAATTCTCAGCATTATTACCATTAAAAAGTGTTCCACACTTCAAAGGGCAATCAAACCACAAAGCCTGCACAGCAATGCAAGAGCATGCTGAGCGCCAGTCAGCCAGAGTGCAACCAGCCCTATTTTTTTCACTTCCTTCCTTCCAGCTATTCCCTGAGCCCAGCAACGGGCTGGCACACCTCACAGACACATGTCCAGCTTCCACCTACTTCAGATGCGTGCAGACAGAAACCAAGAGGCCTTTCCCCATGGGCACCAGCCTCACCCTGGGAGCGGCAGCCATCCTGCCCTGCATAGAGTAGGTGCTGAGCATCCTGCCACAAGCTGACGTCGTGCCGCTCAGCTCCCTGTCTTGGGCTGTCAGCCTCAGATTGCAGTGGCCAGCCTGTCCCACGTCCCACCTCACTGCCCAAAGGAAAGCACTGGAGCACTGCAGAGCCTGGAAGCAGTGAGGTCTCCCGCAGGGGAAGGCGGACCAAACTGCAGCCCTTTGTTCTGCTGCGAGGCAGCCCAGGCTCTGATGGCACGTCGCGAGGGAGAGGAACGCAAAGAATGCACCGGAGCAAGAATGTACAAAGCACAGCTTGCCGTGAAAAAAAAACCACAGAAGGCCCTAATACAATGGTGACGGGGGGGCTTTCTCCAGCGCAGCAGTAAGTCTGCACCAGAGCAGCACCGCAGTGCCCACTTTCCTTCCCCAGCCCCTGAACGAGCACAGCTCCCTGCAGGATGAGGCTTCCCCAGCACACAGCTCAGCATCACCAACCCATAGCACACACTGCGCACAGCTGAGGTGTATAAAGTCAGATGGAAAACTGTTTCTGCTTGAGATGTGCAATTATGTAGGGTCTGGCTCCAAAGACACTGCAAGAGAGCATTTTTCCCATTGGTTATCCAAACCATACCAATGCTCATAGAAATACTCAAACAGAACCGAAACCCTGGAAGCTCAGGCACACCGTTTGCTCACAACCAACACCAGCAGTTGTTTATTTGAATGCGTTTTCATGAGGTGAATGTGACAGAGCTGCTGCTTCCGAGTTAGGGAGGGAGACTGACAAACAGCACTGAAGAATTAAGAATTACACTGCTGAACTGAGCATTGTCATGTAAATGGAGAACGTCACATGGGAGCTGCGCATTGTTCCCAGAGACAAATGCAGAACCATGGAAGCGAGTTCAATGGAGTCCTGCCACTGGGGCACTGGGTTGGGAACTGTCTGGGAGGCTGCCGCAGCTGCAGCTAACAGAGCTGTTCATTAAACTGGGGTCTTACATCATATGTATATATATACATACACACACACACACACAAAATAAAACAGAAAACACTTTTGTGGCCAAAGAGACTTCATAAAGTAGACTTCATAAAGTTCTATCTAATATGCTATCACTTTGCTGAACTTACAAAACTTCTATTAAAAAACCATTTTAGCAAAGCAGAGGAAGAGCTTTCCTATTAGAGGTTGGCGACCCTGAACATAGCAGAGGGGTTGAAACTAGATGATCGTTGGGGTCCTTTTCAACACAAGCCATTCTATAGTTCTATGAGTCTATTCAATTCAGGCTCTGCTCTGGCAGCACAGATAGCAGGAATGGGAGGAGGGCTAAGACCCGAAAGCAGGCGGCACCACAGGGGTTCGCAGGGCACAGCAACACAAGAAGTGACCCTGTTACAGGGCTGGGATGCAGCCCAATCACCTGGCACAGCTCTGCCCACATCACCCGCGGGCAGCATTCCAAAACCGACGGCTTATCAGGGTGCCAGCAGGGGCGGGTTGGCTCAGATTGAGCCCCACAGCACAAGGCAGGAGGACACAGGTGGATGAGATGCAGCGGGACGCAGCGGAATGCAGCGCAGCTCAGGCAGTCAGCACAAAGGAGGCAAATCACCAACACGCTTCACTGAAATATCAGTTTCTTTAGTATGTTACAGAAAAGCTTATGAACATAGAGAATGTACATAAAAGGCAGACTTCGTAAAATAAAAAGGTCTTTTTGTTTATAAAAAAATTAAAAAGTCAAAGTAAAGTGCATGGAACAGTTTTTTTTCCTCCACTTTTAACTATTGCGCCCAAGTCTCAGCACAAAGCGATGCTTTGGGGGTCCTCTCCTGTCACCGTCAGTCCGTTATTTTACCGTCAAATCAAAGGATGGCGACGACTACAGACACACACTTGGGGGATCAGAACAGCAGAACCAGATGAACCCACAACACAGACTAACAGCTACCAGAGCACCCGCTCACGGCTGGACACGGTACCAGCGACAGGTCTGCTCTCCTTAAGGGAAATCGGTAGGAGCCAAGCTTCAGAGAGAGGGCAGTTCGCCAGTCAGGGGGTGCCCCTTCGTGCGACCAGTCCTCGGTCCCACTGCCAAGGTTCGTTTGCCACAGGAGGAAGAACACGTTGAAAGCACTCCTTCCACATCCCACGGAAGAGTTGAGGCCGAAGGGACCTCCGCGGCAGAGAGCGGGGAAACAAGGAGCGGAGGCGCGGGGAGGGCGGGTACTGTCAGAGCGCGGCGGCCTGAGCGCGGCACTGGGCGATGTGGCGGTGCACGAAGTCAACGCGGGCCTGCAGCAGCTCGGCCTGCCGCTCCGACAGGAAGCCGAGGCGCGCCCAGAGGGGCTCCCGGGCCCGGTAGCGGCGACGCAGCTCAGCGGCGGCGTTGCGCCGGCGGTGCAGCTCGGCCAAACGCCGCGCTGTGCCCTCGCGGAAGACGCAGACGGAGCGCAGCAAGGGCTCGTTGTAGGGGTCCCACGTGGCGAGCAGGCGGTAGCCGTGCACCAGCCCCGCCTCGTTGTCCATGAAGACCAGGCCGCCGTCGGGGGCGCGCAGCAGGTTGCTGGTGGCACGCCGCATGACGCGCGGGTCCCACTGCAGGCTGAACAGGTTGCTGGCTAGGCGGTCGAAGTTGGCCGTCAGGTAGTCGAAGAGGATCAGGTCGCTCCACTGCACCAGCTCCACCAGCTGCGCCGCGGGCAGCCCGCCCAGCTCGCCCGCCTCCAGCGCCCGCGGCCGCCCGCCGCCCCACGGCGCGGGAGCCACCACGGCCGTCAGGTTGTCCACCCAGCGCGTCAAGCTAACCACCGCGCCCTCGGCCCAGTGCGAGCCGCGCAGCTCCTCCCGCACCGGCTCCCACTGCCGCCCGCGAGCCTCCACCAGCGCCAGCGCCATAGGCGGCAGCCGCTGCTGCATGCCCAGCAGCCCGGCCAGGTGGTAGGAGAGCGCCTCGCCCTGGATCTGCTCCGGGCTCACGCCGTAGCGGACGCAGGCGCGGCTCCCGTCCGACAGCCGGGCCAGCCGGTTGGAGCTGCGCCCGCAGCCACCGCGCTCCAGCGAGGCCACACGGGCTCCACGGGCCGTCGCCCGCCACGCCGCCGCTTCCTCGGCCGCGAAGCCCGGCGGCACCCGCGCCTCCAGCTCGCGGCTCCAGAAGATGCCGCGCCGCACCGGGGCCGCCGGCGGGTCCTCCTCCCCCTCGTCCTGCTGCTGCCGCTCCCGTCCCGCGGCCAGCAGCGCCC